TCCCTAAAATGAAATAAATAAATAAATAAACCACATAAAATTTCATATAGTATATAACACTTAATGGTAATAAACAACTCTGTTAGTAGTTTATGCATCACTATCCATTTGTATTATTATTTTAAAGTATATTCCATCTACTCATTAAAAATCTTTTACCATAAAACAGTATGACATATTACATTGGCAGTGGCCTCATGCAGCCCATGTTTAGTGTCTTGATTACATCGAGAGGCCACTCCAATTGACTGACAGGTATCATCACAGCTTGTGGAAGTCACTCAGTGATGTTTGCACAATGAATGTGTCCCTGTTGTTAAGTGATACATAACTGCATATATATATATATATGTACATTTATCATATATCTATAGTATATTATAGTATGGAATATATTTTGTATGCACATGCTCAAAGTAAAGATTGTTTTATTACAGTATATTGAAAACACTTTCATTTGAAAAAGTGAACGTAAACACTATAAATGCCTCCTAAAAGATGATTAGAAAGCTACTACAAGAGGCCAGGGTTTAGCTCCGTGGTGTAGCACCTGCCTGACAGATATGAGATCCGGAGTCTGATTCCTGGTAAGCCCCTAAGAAATGTGAGAAAAATATATTAAAGTAAATCCAACAACTGAGCATATTATAACCCATTTTTTAAAATATTTTTGTTACTTACTGACATAGAACCAAATATAACATGTATTGCTAAAGAAAATAACGAAAGTCCAAACATGTGTGCTTGATACTATGGAAGGAATTTTTCCACTAAAACAGATGTGATTCATCGAGGTTTTCTAGAGTTCCCAGATATTGTACCTGCTGAGGCTTAAACAGAAAGGGAAGACACTACGAAATGTGGATATTTTGAATGCTTTAAATGACGATTGCACTTTCTGCGGGAGCTCTACGTAGTTTTTATAACTTGTTTTCAGTTCCAAAGTGATATCAAGATTTGAGCAAATGGACTGGCCATATGGACTTCAGGTTCTCCCAGACCCCACACTTCAGGAAACCATCCCAAGTCACAGAACATGGAGGGACAAGGGAAATACAGGTCTGATAGCCACTGTCAGAGGCCCAGAGTTTAGGAAAAGAACGTAAGTGCAACTGCGCTTTGTAACCACTCGTTCCAGACAATGCTTCTTCCCTGCTTCTTTCCTGCCTGCTGAATGTAAGTAGGCCAGGGCTTCACAGCTGGACCTTACCGATCTGATAGTGGAGAATGTGAGGCACCATAAGTTATAGAAGACAGGCTTTACTGTTATTGGGTTAGGTTGTCACAAGAAAGGAAAGCAGGGCTTGATGCATAATGTAGGCTCCTTCCACTTGTAAAATTTATAGATATTGCCGGATCTATTTTTAGGATGCTATGAATATGAGAAAGGCTGCAAGACAATGACAGCTGTAAGCCTGGCTGTCCTGGAGGGAGCACCTGAAAACTGCAGGGCGCAAGGCTGAGACCTTGCACACACTCACCCTCTTCAGCCTCAGAGCGGTCCTAAATACCGGGTGCTTTCACAGATTAGGGCACTGAGCTTCCTGGAAGTAATTAGCAAACACAGACTCCCACCATCAGTGAGAAGGAAACTCAGCCACCAGCGTGACGTAAAAATTGTTAATCTAAAAATTGTAACAGCCTTATTGTGATATCATCGAAATAGATTGTGACAGATAATAATTTAATTATGTTAATTATTAATGTGATGTAGTCTTTAATAAAATGCTACCAAGGAAATTCAAGAACACACTAAAATAACCATATATTACCAAGTGAGGTTTTTTACTGGGATGCAAAGGTGAAGAATTAAAACCACAGATTCAACTCAAGAGATGCAGAAAAATGATTCAGAAAAAAAAAAAAAAAAAAACAATGTCATTTCATTGTAGCGCACTGTAAAGCACACTTCTGGGTGTGTCTGGGTGGTCACAGAGCATGCTCTGGCCCCGGCCCCTTCCTCTCCGCCACTGTGCCCTCCTTCATTTCTGGACTCATGCAGTGAGCAGCATTCCACCCCCATGCCCTTCCACCATGAGTTTTCAGCTTTGGAACTAGCTATCTACAGCCTGAAACTCTGAAAAAATGAGCCAGATGAAATGTTCTGTCCTTTCAATTGTGGCTCATAGGCATTTTCCCCCAGCAACAGGACCAATACAACAGTCAACTGGTATTCAGTAAGAGTATCAAGTACACATAATACAGGATAGCATTTTTCAAATGTTGTATAAAATCCTGGATACTCATGTGTAAAAGTAAAACTAAGCTTGGCTTCTATCTCATACTACACATAAAAATCAAGTATATCCAAAAGCTGCAGTACATACTGTGAGAGGGAAAGAAACTGCTTAAAAGGGAGGAACAAGTGAGACGAGGGAAAGGAGAAAAGGAGGGAAGAGAAAATTATATGTATGTATGCGCACAGGATAGCTTGGATAACTGTGCTGCTGATTCCCACTGGTCTAGAGAAAGGAGCATTTAATGCTTAATTTTTTTTCTTTTCAATTTTTTGACCAATTTTGTACGCTTATATCTTGTAATCTGAACAACTAATTTGAAGAAAATAATATGCAATATAACAACCATTGTTGAATTCCTATCTTGTTTAGTGAAATTCTGCATCATTTCTAATTTTTATAAAATGGATGAAGATATAAGCATAAAAACTGAAGCAATAAAATCACTAACAATACAGAGTAGTAAGCTTTCTTGACATTAGTCCTGGCAATTTCTCAATGTCTCTCCCTCCCTCCTCTCTTTCTCTATCTCTCCTATCCTGAGCATTACACACAGAGCCTTGCATGGCTAACAGGAGCTTTGCTGGTGAGCTATACCCATAGCCCTTCTCATTTTCTTCTAGCACAAGGTCCTGCTAAGTTGCAAGGCTGGCTTGAGCTTGTGATCCTCCTGTCTCAGCAGCAAAAGTCACTGAAATTAGAGATATGCACAGCCATGCCTGACTTGGCAATAAGGTTTTTAGATATAATACCAAAAGCCCAGACAAGAAAAGCAACAATAAAAAACTGAGATTACAAAAACTAAAATGCTTCTGCATAAAAAGGCAAACAATGAACAAAATGAAAGCACAAGCTACAGAATAAAAGAAAATACTGTCTGGCAAGAGGCATAGCTCAGTGGCAGAAGCACTTGCCTGGCAAGTGCAAAATCCTGAGTTCGATGCCCTGTACACACACACACACACACACACACACACACACACACACACACTCAAATATATGAGATTAAAAACATGAAAAACTCATACAACTTAGCACCAAAATATAAGTGACTCAATTTTTAAATGGCCAAAAGACCTAAAAAAACACTTTGCTGGAGTCAGCAAGATAGTTCAGTGGTCTAAAGGGCTTGCTTAGGCAAGCATGCAGGAACAGCAGCTTGATCCCCAGCACCACAGGCCAGGCCAGCCCTACCCCCAGGGTGGTCTGAGCCGGCAATAATAAATAAATAAATACATACTTCTCAAAAATTAAAAAAGTGGTCAATAGGCATATGGAAAGGTACCCAACACCTCTAATCATTAGAAAATATGAATCAAAGCTGAAATAATACTTCACATTTATTAGAACACCAAATATCAAAAAACAGTGTTTAGTATATAGAAACACTACCAAGTTTTATATATTGATTTTGTATCCTACAACTTGATCAAAATATTTAGTTGCAACAGTTATTAGTGAAGTTTACAGCATTTTCTCTGCATGTGAACATGATACCTACAAAAATACTTATGATCTTCTTATTTATATGATTTTTATTTCCTTTATTCTCCTCCCACCTTTTTTCTGGCTGATTGCTCTAGCTACAACTATCAGTACTATGTTGAGCAGAAGTGAAACAATGGGGTATCTGTTCCTTGATCCACATCTTAAGGGAAAAGTTTTAAATTTTTCTTTAACTACTGAGATAATCCTGCTTTTTTTTCTTTGATTAATATTGATTATCACATGAATTTATTTTGCCCTTGACCTGTCTTGTACCTAACTTGTTAATTTTTTTGGCCTGGCTTGTGCTGGCCATTGTTCATACACTCTTGCATTCTAGGAATAAACTTTGTTTTGCCAGAGTGAATGGTCGCTTTTAAGAGCTGTTGAGTTGTGTGTTTTTAAGGTAATTTATGGAGGATTTCTCTTTATCAAAGATTTGGCTTATAGTTTTCTTGCACTAAATTTGTCTAACTTTGGAATCAGTGTGGTGCTAATCTCATTAAAAAAAAGAATTGGAATCTTACTATTTCTAATTTGTGAAGTTTAAGAAGAGTTAACATTAATTTTCCTATGAATTAGAGGTAGATTTTACCCAAAATTTCATGAGGCATTGAAGTGGTTTTGTTGTTGAAGGCTTTGATAACTTATTTAATCTTCTTGATTTTTATTGGTGTATTCAAGCTATGTATCAAATAATTTTCATAGGCTACATAGTTTTGAGAATGTATTTATTTCAAACTATCCATCTAGATTATCAAATCTATTAACATACAAGGCATGATTGAAACATTTAGTGAATATTTAAATTTTCACTATGTTATTACTGATTTTATCATTGTTAATATTCTATTCTGGTTTTGAAACTAGACCATTTGTATTGTTTTATCTTGCTTTGTTTCTGTCTTTGCTCTTGTTTTTGTTTTTGTTTCATCTTTAAAGTTAAAAAAGTTATTATTTTAAAAGTAATGTGCACATTGCAAGAAGTGTAGAAGAAGGGTGTTCACAACAAGAGGGAAAATTTTAGGATGAAACGATGGCAATGTGTCTTTTATTGTAATAAATTCCTTAATTTAGAAACTCACTGTATTTTATGATCATCCTGAACTGATCAAATATAATTACTCATAGTAGCTCCTTATAACAGTACAACATTTTCCTGTCTTATTTTAGCATACAGTCAGCATGATTTGGGGTTGGGAATCCCATAATGCCAAAGCTAATACAGATTCAAAACACTGTCCTGACGTATCTTTTTTTCCCCCCTCGCCTTGGCAGGATCACAACCACAGCTGCCTGCATGATGGATCTTCGAAGATATCCTCTGGATGAGCAGAACTGCACTCTGGAGATTGAAAGTTGTAAGTTCCTTGTACAGCGGAATGAGAAAAAGGGATGTTTGCTTGACCCAATTAAGTTTAACCTTTCACTGAGTTCACTGATACTAGGATATTTTTAGCTGCACTCCCCTGCCAGTTTCTCAAAGGATTTACATTCAGTGACATTTTCCATTATGGTTGTAGTTCAAGGGTCATTTCAATGAAGTTATCTTTTTTGGACAATTAAGGAAAATCCACTTATTTTAGACTTTTTTTTATCCTTTGAGACATGTTTCACTTTGAAGTTCAGGCTGACCTCAAACTCATGGTGATCCTCCTACCTAAGCCTCCCAAATGCTGAAATTACAGGTGTGCACCATGACCTTGGCAGCTCTAAGTTTTATAAACATATTAAGCATATGCTTTCTTTTCTTTAGTGTTTTTCCCAAGCTTACTTGTGGCAAAGCTGCATTAATATAAGAAAACATTTCAATATGAAAGAATCTATGAGAATGTTTTTGGTTCTATCATCTGGTGATCTAAAAGATTGTAGATTGTCTTTTAGAAAAATGCTGAGTGCCTGCTTAGGTAAGCATAGGGACCAGGGTTTGATGCCTGGTACCACATGCTGTGCTGCACACCCACCCCCCACCCCCGGCAGACTGAGCCGGCCACCAAGTCCTGGTGTGGTAGCACATGCCTGTAATCACAGTGCTGGGGAGGCTGAAAACAGGGGAATCACTTTCAGTCCAAGCTGAGTAGTGAGACCCTGTACCAAATACATTAAGATATATATGTACTGAGAGTTGTGTGTGAATGATATGTCTCTATTGGAGAAAAGAAGAAGATAAAAATTTATCTATTGTATTGAAGCTTGTGCTTTTCTAAGACTTAATGTTTTGGAGGCCTAGTGACTGATTTTAGTTTGTCCTCTCAGGCTTGCTTTTCATTGACTACTTTTTGAGCAATATGAGTGTTTCTGTCACTAAGGTTTAACCTGACTCACTCTCCCTGAGTCCTTGTTTCTCTGTAATCAATCTGTAGGTGGTTGGGCCTGTTGATTGTGAGTCCCAAAAGCACAGCATTCCTTGATTTTCATAGGTACAGAAAGTGTAGCAGACCTTTCACATCATTACCCTATCACTGTTGTGAAAAATCAACACATGTACATTTAAACCATCTAAAATAATTCCTAAATGCAAATGTGAAGAAGATAATGAAGATGGGAAAAATACTAAGTAATCCTACAGTACTGTTAAATAATAAATGTATCTCCTTAGTATGTAATTATTAAGCAAATATATTAATTTTCTAGTTTCACTATATACAAACATAGAAATCTACACACTACTACAGACAGCTCTAAATTTACACATAGATATTGTTCTACCATCAATGGAATAAGCAAGAAAATTCATTGACTATTCTTTAAATATTCTAATTTCAAAGTTCATTATATAAAGAAGTAGCAAGTAAGCTGTTATTTTGAAACTGGTATTAAAAGAGAAGCCTAACTCATGCATTATTCACATGTATGGATTAATTTTGGCCTTTGACTGCTTTTCATTTCAGTTTGTGATGGCTTTTATCTTGGCTTTTCATGAATAGCATCAGAATCTGATAAACTCTTAAAATATGATGATAACCAAAACAAAAAATATAAATGAAATAGAAATTAAACACGCCTTTTGCAGAGCAGGAATAAGTAACTCCCAGAAAGCAAAATCGTCCAAAATAATCATAAAACTGTGTCAGAAAATATCCAGTAACACAAGCATCTGATGACCACTGAGGCAGTTTACTAAGATGCGGTCACTTGCCTGGATGGAATGATAAGTACTGTAAGAGTGACATTAACCTCCGCTAATGTGTGAGAATGCAGGCAGTTGGTAACCATCATCAAAGAGGCCCAGCAGCAGGTCACAAAACTCCACTTCCTGAATACTTACACAAAGCAAGGCAGAAATCTCTACCTGTCAGAATTTGGGGTAGTGAAGAGTCTATGAAGGCAGGAATTTGAGAAGGGGGGGGTGGATCTACCTTCCATTGCCAGAGTAAAGTGAGGGATTAGGTAACACCTCTGTGATGAACGCATGCTAACTACACTTGAGGAATAAGGGACCTGAGATTCAGGGAAACGAAATAAGTTGCCCAGCACCACAGGGCGTGGAGAGCACGAGTCAGAGCCCCGTGTCCTCTCCCTCATAGGACTCTGCAATCAACAGGTGGATAAGGACACATCCACCTACCGGCTGGATGATTGGAAAGGACAGTCACACCTAGAGCCCCTCCCAGCCAGCATTAGGAATGCTGTGTGAACCAAAGACTGGTCTGCGTTTCTTAAAAATATCCATATTAAAGGCCAGAACTGATCCCAGGAACTGAAGCTGAAATTAGCTTTAAGAGCAAGGTTCAAATCATTACCACTACAGACAATCATGTAATCTGTGAGTATAGAAAATCAAGTAGGCCTTATTCCATCTACCTTTGCTTTACAAAAACAAAGAAACTAAAACTCAGGTGACATTACTTAGCCTTAATATTTTGTTTAAAATGGATCCATTCTTAGCAATGGAGAAAACAATCTAAGTTTCAAAAAGCGAAAGACCTGAAATTTTAAGAGCAATAATTTCAAGTGGTAAAGTAATACAAGCCAAAAGTATAGAATTTGAATGAGCTTTGCTTGTTTTTCACCCAAGTACAAACTACAGTAATATTAATAAACATTGACTTTATATGCATCTATTTTAAAACTCCTTGTAAAGAAGCTTGTGCTTCCTTAGGAAACAGTGTTCCCTCAGCTACCCATGCATCAAGACTGCAAGTGAGTGTTCAAGTGATTACAAATAAAGCCTCAAGTGTCATTTGGAATAATAAGAGTGATGAAGTACGCTTTCCACAGGCAGAAGATTGAAGTGTTCATGCTTATTGTGACCAATGGAGGTGCAACTTTGCAGGCATTTCAGAATTTGCTGGTTTATATGCTCGTCCCATCAAGGCTGGGAAATGTTGGTTTTGTTTTGGTCCTTTGAAACAAATTAAAGATGTTTTTCTTATCCTTAATGCCATCTAATCAAGTAAAATGGGAAGGCCATAAAGTCTTGTTAAGTTGAAAATTAACTTGAACTTGGGGCAGAGTAACAGCTTCATCACCCCGGGATACGATAAAATGAGCTAATGGCAGATAGAAAAATCAATCAAGGAATTTAGTCTAAGGAGGATTTGAAATTTGAAATCAATAAAACTATCATGTGAAGGTTTGATAGCCATAGCTTTACGAAGGCATGGACTAGCCTGAGGACAGCCATGGAGAGAGAGGTCACATGCCTTTTTCCTTTCACCTACAGAACAAATTGAGGAAAATCTTTACCTCACCTCCCACTTTCAGCAGATGGTACCATATCCTAACACACTCACTAACACAGAAACCATTGTCAGGAATCTCTCTGTTCTCACCCATCTTCTGAATTTCCTTATTCACTATCCTGACTTAATCCTTCTATGTTAATTCTTTCATTGGATAACTCTGCACTCTGCGTTCAGGATTCTATTTCTTTCTTCTTCTTTTGAGAATTGATTATTGCAGCCCACACATTCCATTCTAATCTCTTTGGCTTTCTAATCTTACCCTTTCTACTACCACTTACTCATAGCCTATAAACAAGTTAAAAACTTTTCTCATAAAATATCAACACTTTACCCCTACATCTGCTTTAAGCTTTTTAAAATCTCCTTACCTTTTTATCCACAAATTATTTGAAAAAATTATCTATATCTGTTATTGTTATGGTTTGTGGTGGATGTACCCTTAAACCTTGTGTAGTCATAAGGGGCAGGCTTTTTGGCGGTAGCTGAATTTGTGACTGATTCATGGTCCTATGCTAGGATTAAGGGTGTGAATCCCATACCTGCCCCACATCTGCCCTAGGGCAGGTAGCCTGCATACAAATAAGGAACAGAAAGAGATCTTCCCCTTGCCTTTTGATGTTTTCCACCACCATGAATGGTTATCCCTCTGCCACGTGCTGTCCTGTGGAGTCATCTTTTTTTAATTAATTAATTAATTTTTTTTACAAGACCTTGCCTCATTTATACATTCGTTGCTTGTCATGACATGCCAGTTGCTGCTATGATGTCTCTCAGGTAGATGGTTGTTCAAGAAGAAGGGGGTGGTGGAGGAAAACAAGAGACAGGAAAAGGAATATTGTGGGACTGTACTGCTTCAAGGTTGTATTTGGTGAGATTTTTGGACTTATGTGCAAACATGAGAAGTATATAATTCTTTATGCCTATTTTTTAAATATATTCTAATTTTTAAGTGTTTTTTATCGTATTCTGTAGGGACTTAGAGTTCAACATAACCATACTTGATCAAAAATACCTGTTCCATATTATGCCTAAGATGTTTGATGTGGATTCATCTTATTACAAAGTGAAATCTCTACAGACTGTGAGCTACATAAACCTTTCTCCCTTTAACTTCGAGCATTGGGTATTTTGTCTCAGCAGAGAGAAAAATAACTAAGGCAATGTTCATTGCCTCAGCTTCCTCTCACCTCACTGCAGCCCACCATCTGCCTACCTCCCTAACCCTACCTCTGACAAATCTGTTCTCAGAAAACAATATCTCTTTCCATTTGATTTTTACTCCAGTGGCTCTCCAATTTCCATCTCTAGCTCAGATGCCATCTGAGCATTAGATTGATGCACTTATTAGATTGATGCACTCTTTGTGGCATAACTATTTTGACTTCTCAAAGGCATCGTAATTCGTTCAAAACTTAACTTAGATTCATCCCCAAATGAATTTCTTTCCTAGCCTCACTACTCTCCTTTCCAACCACAATTTTAGGATTAATTATTCACAACACCCTCTAACTCATAATCCTCCCATCTAATCCACTGCCCAATATTATCCATTTTATCAGCAATAGATTTATCAAGATCTTCCATTCTTTTTGCAGCCCTACTACTTGTAATCTTCTACTACTACTATGCAAGTACCCCTACTGCTTGTGTCTTACTGGACTACTGTAGCCATG